GCAGGATTAGACCTGCGGCTAGGGGGGGGCAAGGAGCTGGGGTGGGGGGCTGTGGGCAGTGCAAGGACAAGGAGAAGGACACCAAGCACCCAGACAGAGCTGGCTCAGACTAGAAGGGCCATATCTTACACACGTACATAAATACAGTTCAGGGGGGACATGGTAGGGAGGTTTTTGCTGCTCTCTGAAGGGTTCTGCACCAGTCACATCCATAGGCTCCTTCATGAACCACGCACAGAGTTCCCCAGGAGGGAGCTGGGGTGTTTCCTCCTCGTGATGTAGGCAGCAGCCAGGGCAGAGAGGTGTTTGGGGTGCAGCATGTGTGGGGCCTGAGGCCTCCTGCCCCAGTGTGGGGATGCTGACAGGGTGTCCCCATCCTGTCCCATGGCACTTCATAGCACCTGTATGTCCCAGATCTGTGTGGGTCTCTGCTCAGCCATGTCCCAGACGATGGCATGGTCCCGGTCATAGGTTCGTCCACCTGCAGAGCGAGGAGAAAGTGTCAGGAGGACAGAAGGGGTGGGTGCCCCATCTCATGGCCAAACACCCTATTTTTGGGCATCCCTGGGAAAGGGCCACTGTGCCAGTGCTGAGGTCTCACCTTTTATATCAAGGATCATGTCCTCAAACATCTGGCAGTGGATCCGTCCCTGGGAATCGATGCGCCAGGTCTGACGTGGCATCCTGGTCTCAGACCACAGCACAGCCTTTGCACCCTTCCCAGCTGGCCCGATGACCTGCAGGCTCATGGTGGGGGCCACCTGCAAGGGGTGGTGGTGGCTGGGTCAGCACACTCCCTCCATCACCTCTGCTGGCACAAAGGCTTGGAGTTCAGAGGGGTTTCCCTGTAAACGCAGCTGGTTCTGGGGTGGGATGTGGGATGAGCAAGAAAACCCCTCAGTGAGGTGTAGGGATGATGATGGTGACACAAGTTCCACAGGGAAGGTAGAGATGCCTTCACGTCTCCAGGGGAGACTTGGGGAGGAGAATCAGATGCTCTTTGGACAAGGCTGAGGTCAGACACTGGGAAAAGCTGTTATAAGATAGCAGGAGTCCTGCCAGGGGCTCCTTGGGTACCCTCCAAGGCACTGCCTGCCACACCTGAGCCCTGACCTGGTTTTTGATCAGCCCATCCTCGTAGTACCAGACAGAGCTGCTCTGCTCACTCAGGCTGGAGACCACCACCCTCCCTGCCTTCATGTCCTCCACATCGTCAGGGACCGAGAGGTAGAGCTCCAGCTCTTTGCTCCTGATGCGGAAATAGATCCGTCTCTGGAATGAGAGAAAACATTTTTTGCACCCAAAAAATCCCTGCTGCCTGCACCTCCAGGACCATACCTGGCTTGATCCTGGTCCCCTGGGGTGGCTGCCTGGAGTGTTCTCCCTGTTCTCCTCCTCCCAGCAGAACTCTGCCTCTGCCCAGGGCGATCGCTGTGCCCGTGACCTGTCTCTCGTAGCTGGCACGGGCACGGCTCACCACACTGGGATGCCATGGATTTTACAAGGCACCTGCCCACAGGGAGCGTTTCACCACCAAGGCAGCCGCTCCCAGGGCGGGGGACAGGAATCTGGGTTGAGAGTGCTGGTGGCACCTTTCATGTGTCAGAGGTGTCAGCTGCATGCTGCTGCTCTCCAGGCTTCCCCAGCCCACCTAGAGCCACTCGCTGCCATCCGGACTGGCAGCTCTTTAGCTCCACATAGCTGGGATTTTGGGGTTAACCCCACAGGGTACCAGTGCTCTGTCCCCTCCTAAAGGTGGCACTCACCTGGCGGATGGGGTAGAGGGACCCCACATGCTGGAGCCCACTGTAGGTCAGCCAGTTGGTGATCTCAATGCAGTCCAGCAGCCACTGCCGCCCTCGGAAATCACCGTGCTCACACAGCACCCAGCTGTGGGGACAGGGCAGGACAGGATGGGTCACTCTGGGCAGGCAGGTGGCACCAGCAGGTGCCAGGGGACACTGGGGGTCACTTACATCCCTCCTTTGACCCGCACCGACAGCACGTGGTTGTTGAAACCCTCTGCCTGCAGACTCCGCACTTCCGAGTTCAGCTCGATTTCCTTCCCCTCAAAACACTCCAGCCCATGCAGGAAGATGGAGGGCTCCGAGAAAAACTGTGGGATGGGAGGAGAGGTGGGGTGGGAGCGGGGGAAAGGTGGGAGGAGTGAGCACCCATGGGTGCAGGAGGGCTCCATCTAGGGAGAGACAGAACTGGGGGTACCCATGGGAGGGGAAAAAAGGTTTTGGAGGTATTTCTGCTAGATGGAAGGGGCAGGAAGGGAAAGGGAAAAGGAAAAAGAAGGGAAAAGAGAAGGGGAAAGGGAAGGAAAGAAAAAATAAGGAAAAAGGGAAGGGAAGACAAAAGGGAAGGGAAAAAGGGCAAGGGGAATGAAGGGGAAAAGGGAAGGTAAAAGAAAAAGGAAGGTAAAAGGGAAGGACAGGAAATAGAAGGTAAAAGGGAAGGAAAGGGAAAAGGAAGGGAAAATGGAAGGGGAAAGGGAAGGGGAAAGGGAAGGGCTGTAATTACCAGTGGGACCTTCTTCAAGGAGCAGATGGCAGTGGAGCAGAGACAGCCCATGGCACTGAGAGTGGGGTACTCCCCCTCAGACAGCACATGCTGGTCCCCCGTGAAGTCCTGACCATCGAACAGGATCCAGCTGGTGGGGAGGAGTGTGACCAAGCTGACACAGCCATTGTGGTGGACATCCATCCCTCCTGTGCCCCCCAGCACCCTGTCCTGCCCACCCTTTGGGGATTTGGGGACCTGCCATGGGGCTGCCAGCCAGGGTGATATCCCTGTTCCCATCCCAGCTGGAGACAATGAGGTCCCAGGACACCCCTACCTGCCCCCACGGACTCTGCAGGAGCGTGGGACAAAGGTATCAGGCAGGGCCTCCTGGTCCTCCTCGAAGGCAACATGATCCCCCAAGAAGTCAGGCTCTGAGAAGAGCAGGATCTGGGGAGGGGAGCAGAAAGGTGAGGGGGAAAACCATCACCACCACCCCACAAGGGGCTGTGTCCCCTAGGAGGGCACATCCTCCTCCCCATCCACTGCTCCTGACCTTGGAGACGAAATGGAGGTTGTGTTCCCTGATCTGGAAGCAGACAGAGAGGGGCTGGTTGGTGTCTGGCTCTGGCTCCCACCAGCCCAGTGGGTCCCCACGATGAAGGGGGGGGATGTCCAGTGCTCTCACCTGCAGGATGGGCTGCACCGAGGCGATGTGGCAATCTGTGGCACCCCAATCCTCACAGCTGCGGTACACCCCCTTCTCCAGGATGTACTGCTCACCCGAGTAGTTGGTACCCTCATAGGCCACCCACCTGCAAGGAAAAGCTGGATGCTGGCTCAGCCCCCCCCTCACCCATCCCCACAGACCCCC